AAAAAAACTATATACACATACCAGTTGTCAGGTTAAATTCAATCTACAGGGAAATCTAACCCCCAAAATCCCTATTCGCAAAGTTGTAAAACAGGGTTGCATCCTTGCCCCTTTACTTTTTAATTTGTTTCTAAACGACCTGGCTTCATCCATCATTGTTCGAAATTGATGGACATGTTCCCAAAACTGGCCAACACCATATCCCAGTTCTTTTATATGCAGATGATGCCGTTTTACTCTCATATTCTCAAATCGGACTGAGGCATCTTCTACACCAATGCTTGACCTACTGTAACAACAACCGGTTAACTTTGAATTATGGGGAAACAATGATCCTAGTTTTTTCCAAATCCTGGAAACAGTTCACATGGACAATCCAGTGAAATCCCATTGAGTAGGTAAAATCATTTAAATACTTGGGGATCAATTTCTACTACAATGGGAGCTGGGTTACTCACCGCAAATGTGCTACTACTGTAGCAAGAAACAGTGCTGAGGCCATCGCCCGCTTTTTCTACTTGAGAGGCAATAGATATGTCCCAATGGCCTTAAAAGCCTTCAATGCGAAATCTAGTTCACAATTTCTATATGGTGCTCCCATTTGGATAAGCGCAATTAACCAATCAGCAGAGGGTCTACAATCCTTTTTTTTTTTTTTTGCGGAAAACCCTTGGACTCCCTAATTGTGTCCCATACACTGCGATCTGTCTTGAAACTGGCCAGATGCTGCTGGAAACTCGGGCCTGGCTTCTGACCATCAAATTCTGGCTGCACCTTCTATTTAATCCTGACCCGAATTCCTTTACCTTTTTAATGCTGACAGATCATTATGAACCTAATTGGCTGAAATTAGTCCAAAAAAAATTAGGTCCTTAGGAATACATCTAGACTCGCTTTACTTATCATCTGCCTCCACAATATTTTATACAATTAAACGCAGGCTTCTAGATATTCAATTTCAGTGCCTGAATGAGGCAGCCAGGAAAACCTGTTCCCCAGTTCATCTGGGATTATCCCAGACACTGGGCCAGACAGCTACTTATTTTTGTTCTCTAACTGATCACCATCAAAGAAGGGCATTTATGTTAGCCAGATTTAGCATATTGCCATCGGCCATCTTCTCTGGAAGACGCCAAAAAATCCCCTCTGAACGTAGGCAATGCCCCTGCAGTCAGGGTGCTATTGAATCCATTTCCCATGTTCTTTTAAATTGCCCATTTTATACTAAGATTCGAGGAAAATTTCTGGACACCCTTCTTTTTACATGGCGTGGTCTTCCTGAGAGTATCAAGGTCCAGTTGCTACTCTACGGGCAAAACACTTCTATAACTTTTAATGTTGCTTGTTTTGTTCGAACCAGGGAAACTATTAATTGATCAGTTCTTTTTTGTTGGCTGTTCGACAGCCAAATCTTTGATGTATTTCTAAATTTTAATGTTATCTTATCTCTTACATGCCAATAAAGGTTGTCTGTCTGTCTGTTGCCAACCTCCAGGTGGGGCCTGGTGATCTCCTAGAATTACAACTGATCTCCAGTCTAAAGAGATCAGTTCCCCTGGATAAAATGGCAGCTTCAGAGGGTGGGTTCTGTGTCATAATATCCCTACTGAACTCCCCTGTTCCTCAAACACTCCAATCTAGGCTCCACCATCAAATCTCCAGGAATTTCCCAACCCAGAGTTGGCAACCTAGTCGCTAGCCACTTTGAGTGGATTCTGCAGAATGTGGGATATTAATCTTTTAAATAAATACGTATATCAATGCATAGATCTATGACTGACAGCCTGTTAAATAAGCTCTTCTGTGTTTCCAGAGCAACAATCCCTACTTAATAGCCCCTCTACTGACATGTGACAAATATTCTAAAGGTGATTTATTGCTGGCTCATAATACAAAACCGTTTTGCCTACTGAGCCTCAGAGATTCGGGGGGCGGGAGTCTGTTGTGTCTTGGCCCCTTGTGTCTATTTTGGAAGCAAAAATTCTGACACACACCACCCTTCCTCCCTGTCACACACATACATTATATAAAGCAAGACAGTTGTGTTTGTTTGTTTGTTTTAAAAAAGCCTCTCTTTTTTTTATAATTGCTATAAAAATTTTAATGAACATTTAATCTACCATTCCAGTCACATGTAGTGGGAAGAATACAAAGGAATGCACATCACAAAGAGAGCATTCCTCTGGTTAAGATTCAGAATTCTGTACATGGTGCATTCAGATTATTGTTGCAAATTACGATGGGTTGGATCCAACCGGTTTTTCCGCTGGTGAAAAAGAGAGGAAGGGCGCCCTTCGACCACACTAAAAGGGCTGGGCTGAGAATCATGGGACCTGCATCGACAAAAGCCATGTGGAATGAGGGCTGTAGTAAGGAGGTGAACTGGAGGAGATGGAGTGGAAAAAGTGGGTTGGATCCAACCTGATCAAGATGTTCATAATCAAAGATTGAAAGTGACATTGCTGGTTATTCTTAGAGAATTTCACAGTACCGTTTTGGGGAGAGGTTCATTGGGTTGGATCCAGACTAAATTTCCCATCACTGGAATGGAACTTCCCTGCCTCCCCGCTTCCACCGCAGCCCACTCATCTCCTTGAAATGCTACTCCTGGGAGACAGGGGTCCCTGAGGAACGGCATAGGGAGGGTCTCCCAACAGGAAGGGAGAATCTGTGGAAACTGACAATTTAGTCTGGACATAAGCCAATGTTCCCTCTCTGCTGTGGAGTCTTGTGAGCAAAAATTCTACTTTGTGAGCTACTGACATTAAAGTTGTGAGCCAGTGATTTGGCTACTGCAGAAATTAGTTTGCTCTGGAGCCATCCTTCCTGAGCTGAGACAAAAATGTGTGAGCCGGAGGCTAAAGAACTGTGAGCTAGCTCACACTAACTCAGCTTAGAGGGAACACTGGACATAACCCGTACTTGTGGATGATGTCCTCTCTCTCTCCTTTATTATGTTGCAAAAACTTTGCATATGCTTCAGCACACCTCTCCGTCTTTCTTTAGGAGATCTCCCTAATACTGTTTTCAGCTACAGGAACACAACCTATTTCTCACTGCCTCCCAGAGTCCTCCAGATGCAGAGATAATACTCACAGTCTTAATTGCACATTAGAAATCAATGAAGCAGAACCCTTAGCTGCCAGGGCTGAAACAGGTATATGTTCAGAGAACATTAATTCCACATTAGCCTCAGGGTGGCGAGCAGAAATGAATCAGAATGCCTTGTCTATTATTTACCAACTAGGATTACAAGCCTAAACAATGTGTGTGTGTGTGTGTAAGTGCCACCAAGTCCCATCCCACACATGGCAACCCGAGCAAGCGCTTTCCAGGCAAGTGAGAAGCAGAGTTGGTTTGCCATTGGTTGGTTTCCTCTGCAAAGTCTTCCTTCTTGGTCACTCATCCAAGTACTGATCTTGCTTAGCCTCCAAGATCTGATGAGATTGAACTATACTATACCATACCACATCCTCTAAACTACTTTCTCAAGATAAATTGCATCAGAATCAGTGAGATTTATGTCCAAATCTTTGCACTCTAGGATCTGGATCCCAGGCTTTTGTTTGCTTAATTTTTTTACTTTTAAATCTTTAACACTGCTTTTTCACAGGTCACTATGGATAAGTCATCTCAATATACAGTTAGTTATACTCAGTATACAGTTAGCTGTACTGTGTATTGGTGGTTGCCCTGTCAGTATGGAAAGTCTTCCATACACCAAAGACTTTCCATACACCGAACAATAGCTACTTTCAGTGTGTCATCTAATACTGGAAGAGTGCTCTAGTCTTGGGGTTTCTTGAAGGTTTCTGAGAGCTGCCTCTAATCTTGAATGTTATATTTCTTGCCTTTTTAAAAATTGTTTTAAAGACTTTCTACCCCCAAGCTTCCGGCATCAGCCTCCAGTATGGAAAAGAATCCTTCGAAAACACAAAAATGCCATGAAAACGCAAAACAATAAGCAACATGTACCAGAAGTTAAAAAAAGACAGCAGTTTGGCAAAAACTACAAATAGTTCAACTGCTAAACGTCTGTGCAAATAAAAGTGTTGGTTTGTTGCTGGAAAGACAACACAAATGTGTCTGAAGACGATAGTCCATAAATTCTCCTGTGAGGGAATAATGCCTCCATTAACTGAGGCTAGGTGGGTGTGTGCTCAGGGTTGAGGGAGGGCCCTTTGTTAATAAAAAGATCTTCACCATTTGACAAAATGGTGCTCAGTGATAGTGCTGAGAAGACTTTCCACAAGGTGGCTGGTCCATAGGATAGGAACCACACAAAAAAGGTCTTTCCTGATCTGTATGTGGACAGATTTTACCTCACAAATCAAAGCACAGGGTCTCATGCCGAGATGTTAGTGAAAAGGAAAGTTCACATCGCAGAAGGCAGTTTGGAGCCAGGCCATTAAAGGCTTTAGAAGTCATAAGCAGTTAACAGGAATCAAAGGAACATAGAACAGAGATTCATCTCTAGACCCAGAAGAACACAATGATTCATACAAGAGAAAGGGCTTCATCCAATACTCTGTTCCTAGGGCATTGAGAACTTTAAGCAGGAGAGCCAACAGAAAGACTTTACCTCAGGAATCAGAGGTACAAAGAGCAGAGCTCACACTTGATCTGAGGGAATGGGGAAATTCATGTGGGAAAGATTGGTCTCTAAGCTATACTAGGCCCAGGACACTGAAATAATGGGTTGGATCCTGCCAGCTTTTCTACTTGCTCTTGCCTCACCTCGCCTCACTTCTGCTCACATGCCACACAGGTTCCATGATCCTTTTTGGAGGTGTATGGACCCCACTTCCCTCTTTAAACCTGCAGAAAAACTGAGAGGATCAAATCCATTGCATTCTTGTGACCAGCCTCTTTACAGATGTACCACAAGATTTTGCACTGCCCGAAGCATTCCTTTCTATCTGCCACCCCCCACATCAACGCACACAATGCATGATTCTGTTTTTGCAGCACATTTAACAGGAATCTTGATTTCTTTTCAGTTATGATGAGTGTGTGGGACCAGGAGCAGCCCAAATTTACGTTCCTACAGATGACCCTCCACCTTACTCCCTGACAGACCCTTATCGAAGGAGTGACTTGGCAATAAACATTCCTTTGGAAGAGGAAGCAACTCCTGGGACTACGGAACAGGCTGCTGGGTGCAGGTTTGGACTGCAAAACCCTCAGCAGCCAATCTCTTCCATTTCCTCGTCATCGTCATTTACAATGGAGGCCGCCCCTCCCTATGAGACAGTTGTAGGCGAACAAAACATCCCTATTCCTTTAGTCCCGCTGGAAGTAGTGAAAAATTCTAGAGATGACTACCAGAACCTTTGCAACAGAATAATGTAAAAGGAAATGAGGCTTCTGAAGGGATCCTTCAAGCGGAAGGAAGGGCAAGAACACAGAACGAGATTAACCCATCCGGGTACTCTACAAAACTCTTTTCTACTTTTAACAGGGCTAGAATGGGATTATTTTGGGATGAGGTTTGTTTTGGGGTGGGGGGGGGATTGTTTTTTAAACAGGACATTGTGAAAATTTACCTGCACACTAATCTTTGGGTTTTGAATTGTTCCACAAAATGTAAAATGCTGAAAGCAACGGCTCAGATGGTACGTTGGCCTCTCCGTAACATTTGAAAGCGCCTCCAGCTAAACTGCTCTTAGTCTAGATTGGTGTTGTATGGTCGAACCTAGTTGTCAGTTCTGATACGGTACTTTGCATGTCTTAGAACAAAAGGGAAGGGAGATAGAGGGGCTTGCTTCCATATTTGTAAGCACCATTAAGTTGATGCTTGATCACTTAGTCATGAGGAAGGATTCGATCGTTTGCAACATTTGAAAAAGGTATTCATTTAGATGTATACCTCAGCTCCAGGTTTGTATAAACATTGGCTTGCATGTTTTTCCTGTCCAAAAAAAGGGTACATCAGAATTAGTCCCATTTTACAGATAGAGAACTGAAGGTTAGAAAGGACGTTCCCCACTCAGTTATTATTAACTGGCTTAACTTGGATTTAAATCCAAGCCCGCACCCAAAACTGTACACTAAAAAGTTTGTCCCGTATATTGGGGATCAAACCTGTATCTACTGTTTAGGAATATTTCTGTCCACTGTGTTTTAATCCCACCCCGTCTTCAATGAGGAATATCAAAATGTTGTACATGATTCTTTCCATTTTATCCTCACAACAGCCCTGTGAGGTTTGTTAGGCTGAGAGAGAGTGCCTAGCCCAGGGACACCCAGTAAGTTCCATTCTATTTTATTTACACGTTCAAATATTTGTACTCTGCAATTTCTGCGATTGTAAACTGTCTTGAGCCACAAGGGAATTGTGGCTCAAGACAGCTTACAATTGCAGGAATTAAAAACATACAAAATACCATCAAACTTCACTGACCCCCTCCCAAGAAAATGCCTGCAGCATGGTGGTGGTGGTAGAAAGAGCCATCAAGTCACAGCGGACTTATGGGGACTCCATTGGGTTTTCAAGGCAAGAGACATTCAGAGGTGGTCTGCTATCGCCTGCCTCTGGATAGTGACCCTGGTAGTCCTTGGCAGTCTCCCATCCATACTAACCAGGGTCGACCCGGCTTAGCTTCTGAGATCTGACGAGATCAAGTTATCGAGGTCAGCCTTCAGGATAAACCCTGTTAAAAACTCTTGCAAATAAAATGATCTTACAGTGCCTCCTGAAAACTTTTTCACCCCCTCAGGGATCCTGTTCCACAAACTGGGAGCCATTGTGGAGACAGAAGGACTCCGGAAGATGCCAAGTGGACCACCTTAAGTGGGAGGAACAACTGAAAGACTGCATCCAGTAGACCATATAGTTATCTTATGGCAGTGTGTGTAGTATAGCCAAGAGATCCGAAGATTGTCTGACAGCCAGAAGTTCTAGCTCTTTTAGTGTTATGCACCACTAGGTGGCGAGCTAGACTTGTTTTTAAGGCAAGAGACGTTTCAGAGGTGGTTTGCCATTGCCTGCCTCTGCATCACGCCCCTGGTATTCCTTGGCGGTCACCCATCCAAATACCCAGGACCGACCCTACTTAGCTTCAACATCTGAAGAGATCAGGCTAGCCTGTGCTATCCAGGTCTGGGCAGGCTGGTCTCTAAGCAGACCATAGTTAGTGCATAGGGACATATGGGGAAAGACAGGTCTTCGGGTATATGGGTCTCAGGTCATGAAAGGCTTTAAAGGTTACCATCACCACCTTGAACTGAACTTGAACATAGGCAGCCAGTTGTAGATTCCTTAAAATAAGTGTGATCTGTTCCCGACAATTAACTGTAATCAGGCTGCCACATTCTGAACTAGTTGTAGTTTTCAGTTGTCTTCAAGGGCAGCCGAATGTAAATTGTCTTACAGCAGTCCAGCCACGGTGCTACAGAAGCATGGATTACGAAAGCAAAGATTCATGGGAGTGAGGATTTGAGCCTGGGTTTCTATAGTCCTAGTTAAGCGCTATACCACACTGGACCTTCACAGGTACTATTTGTTATTATTGTTACATGCCATTTTGTGATGGGCCTTGCCTCACCTGGCAGCCATTTTATGGTGGTCTCCACTTCCCTTTCTCAAAATTCCAAAGGTGTTCACAGGCTTGACAAGGGTGAGGATCCCAGTATAAAGTGTGCTCTAGGGAATGATGGTATGTCCTAGCCGGCGTAATTTGCATCCTGCATAAGCCAACAGTGCATTGTATACCATTCCCCAGAATCCTTTGCAACACACAAATGTTTCAGAGCAGACAAGTAGGAGTTTTTCAGCAGGCAATTCAGCATGGAAAGAATTTAACAAATGTAGGAAATGTGAGGAGACTGCCGTGAGGTGAGAATGGAGATCTGATGATTAGCAGGTCCCATGTATATGTTCCCCACTATCCATTTTCTTTTCATTCTTCCTTCATCCTGTTTCTGTTGAGAATTTTTTCCCCCAAAAGCAGGATTTGTTAGATTTACGATCTAAAATGTTGTTAACTCGCACCACAGATTACATTCCTGACATTGTTTTATTGTTTAGTTAATAATCCTATTACCATTGAGGAGAGAGAATAAATATAAGTCGATCTCTTTTGTTAGACCAATGGCCCTTGGTGTCACAAGTGTGCCAGCTTTCAAGTTACACAGAATTTGCTTCCCTGCCAGCTGAAGAGTTCTGTGTAATTCAAAAGTTTTACCCTGTGTTTATTATTCATTCTAAACTTTTATTTAATGCTTGAAATGTTAACAAATGAAAGCATCAGCTTTGGAAGGTATCCATTCGGGTAATAACAACTGGGGATTTCTTAATAGGAAGGCACATTTTTAATGTGGTACAGTAAGTATCACAATCTCTTCCACTGGTTTCAGTCATGTAGTAAATATGGCTGCTGCCCAGTTTATTAATATTTTCCGTCTGAAATGCTTTCAGTACAAAATAGCTTGCAGTTTGCATATACAGTTGCCAGATGTGTACAGAAAAGGCCCAGTTTAACATCTCTTTGGAAGGACAAGTGTGTAATTACTCCTTGAGGGGATGATGATTATAGTAAATAATTTGCTATTGCTAAAAAGCCAAATTATAAGACACCCATAGAATTCTCTTCAAGAGACTCATCCATCTTACAACTGGTGTCAATAACAGTATTTTTGCTTTATGAGATTAAGTTTTTAAAATTCTGATTTGTACCTAGGAAATTATACACGTTTATTCACAGCAGAAGTTGCATGATTAGATCACAAATACATAAGCCCGTCTAGAACAGACCAATGGGCTCTCTAGTCCAGCATCCTGTTTCACACAGTGACCAACCCGATGAAAAGCCCACTGCAGGAACACAGAAGTCATAGCCCCTAGCAACTGGCATCTGAAGGTACACTGCCTGTAAACATGAAAGTTCTAGCCAGCCATCACAGCTAACAAACTTTGGTGTACCTATGTTCCATAAATTTGTTTAATCCCCTGGTGGAGCCAGCTAAATTAGTGGCGTTGATCACAGCCCTTGTTAAGTGACAAGTCATTTACAGATTCCTTTTGTCTATCTTATATCTATTGCCTATCAAGGTCAATATTGTCTATCTGGCAATGTCTCTCCAGGGTCTCCAAACAGAGATCTTTCACATCAGCTGTGAATTGATCCTGTTAGCTGGAGATGCCAGGGATTGAATCTTGAGACCTTCTGCATGCAAAGCAAATGTTCTACCACTGAGCCCCAGTTCTGTCCATCCTTTTTGAGGTGAGGCAACCCAGAACTATGACCATTCTATGTAGCTATACAAAGGCATTACAATAAGGGCCATTTCATTTTCAGTCCTTCCTAATAATCACTAGCATGGAATCAGCCTTTTCTCACTGTTTTCATTACTACCCCCGTGACATCAAGACCTCTTCCCTGGTCAGTCACCGATAGTTTATACATAGGATCTACCTTTCACATTATTCTGCTAGCGGAAGAATTCCTTCCCATTGTCTTGAAACCACTCCACTGAAAAGCTTTGCCTTTGGAGTCATGAGATATACATGTTCTGTCTACAGTGGTTCATCCACACTGTGTCGTCGTTTGTTCACATACACCAGTCGTCATCATGTGCTAGAAGAAAAACACCCGTATATTTTTGTACACTTAAGATTCTGAAATAATTTGCACATTTCTTAAGTACTGGAAAGTTTCGATCCAAGGTTGAAGGGAACCAGATCAGCAGATCAGAGCATACATATTCTGGTAATCTATATCACATGATAAAGTGGTGAACATATATTTCTGAACATGTTCTTATATTAGGGTTGCAACTCTGGGTATTTATTTATTTATTTTATTCAACATATCCCGCCCTCCCCACATGGCAGGCTCAGGGCGGGTTACATCAGATTTGATAAAAATACAATATACAAAATTAACACAACTAAAACACTAGTAAAATACCACAGTAAGCTTCATCCGGTGCCGTTGTCATTGAAATTAAAACCTTGTATACACTTCTGACCCGCTGAGGGGACGCCCAGTAAAGACGGAGGAACGTCCGTCACACTAGTTAAAAGCCTGGTGGAAGAGCTCCGTCTTGCAGGCCCTGTGAAACTGTAAAAGGTCCCGCAGGGCCCTGATCTCGTATGGGAGCTGATTCCACAAGGTAGGGGCCAGGGCCGAGAAAGCCCCGGCCCTAATCGAGGCGAGACGGACATCCCTGGGGCCAGGGGCCACCAGAAGATGTTGATTGGCAGATCATAAAGCCCTTCGGGGCTCATAGAGGGAGAGGCGGTCTCACAGATATGCAGGCCCCTGGTCGTATAGGGCTTTAAAGGTAAGCACCAACACCTTGAAATGGATCTGGTACTCAATAGGCAGCCAGTGCAGTTCGCGCGGCAC